CTCTAAAAAAAACTATTTTTACCCTCTCCCTTTCCTCCGCTCATTCTACTTTTGGTTCTCTCTCTATCTTTGTACAATGGAGAATTAACTTGATGCAAAAGAAGCAACAAGAAACAACCTTGTCCGAGGACAAAGAGCATGTCGATAATGCTGTGAACTTCCTTCAAACTCGAGAGAAATTTGGGTATTCCAAAATTTCCAAATCAATTGAAAGCTCACATCTATTGGTAGCTTACAAGTATTCTGGAAATTCTATTATAGCTTATGTCCTATTTCAAAAGCTCCGAGAGGTTTCGACTAAGATCGAGAATCTTCAAATTCTTGAGTTTTGACAAACTCGTGTCTTCTAATTTAGACACCACTGAGACGGTTCCGCAAGAGGGTAATCACTCCTAATTTAGACACCATCACCATTTCCAGTTGAGCTGTCTACTTGGATGTACAAAACCTCGAGAGAGAGAAAGGAGAACAATTAAAAGTTTATGGGTACAATTTTTCCACTATGTTTACGGGTTTAATTTTCAAATTGTAAAAGTTTAAGGATTTAATTTTTACAATTAAAAGTATAGAGGTGAACTTGTAACAATCATCCTATTTGTTCCCTAAATTTTAAAATTATTTAAGAACTTCTTTTCCAAAACTGTACATTTATTTTTAACATGTAGATCATCATACTTGTTACTGAAAAATAAGTAGACTGAATCGCTTAAAAGTTTAAAAATTTTATTGTAATCAAGTTATATGAATGAATAGATAATTAAATCAMTTTTWATTTTTTACCCTACGGAGTCCAGGTTTCTATGATTTAGTTAAGCTTCACAAATATCCTCTATTTTTTACCCACCCAAAAACGCACTGATTTCTACACTACTTTACCAGTCAAACAGATAAAAAACAAAGATCATGTATTTTATATGGTAATGAGAATGAGAGGTTTGACTAAACAATAAAGACCGTTAAAATAAAACCAAATCATAGGGATCAAATTAAAACTTTTAAAACTATAGGGACCACGTCAAAGTTAATCTAAACCATAGGACAAATTTGACCTTTTAATTTTAGTTCATCCATGTTCAAATCTGTAAAATCTATGTACACTSTCACCATTTATTTCTCTATTGATGACTATGATGTTTGTAAGCCTATTTAAACATCGACTTCCAGATGAAACTTGCATCATCCTCATCCTTAATTTGTTAATTACAAGATCACATCAAACTCTGTTAGCACAATAAGAGGCTTAAATCATATTCTAATCTTTAAAGTTTCATGCTTGCTTCGTTTTGGCAAGTGTGTGCTTAAAACARAAATCTTTTTTTCATATAAACAAGTGTTTAAAGCCACATGTTAGTGTCAAGTGTGATTACTGAATGAGTAATCTAAAAGACTAAAATAGTTTTTTCGAGATTGGGCTAAAAGAAAACATTTGAGAAAACCGAAACAAAATAAGTTCGAAAGTTAATGAAACAAACCAAAATTTAAACTAAATACAATCCATAGAGATGGATATTAAAAGACAGAAATTTCAAACTCTAATACCAATCTTTCTAGTGGTTAAAGAGGACTGCATACGCATCAAACATGAACGATTGAAGCAGAAGGCTCTTTCAGAACTTTCACAACGCGAACACGTGCACATGCACACATTAGGCAATCATAATTTTCATGTTTCCATTCAAGAATTACCTCACTCGACATCGTAGCCCTTCTCTTGAAGTTCCGAAATGACCTCGTTCCTCATCCTCAACCATAGCTTCTGGGCCTCTTGCTCCAGCTTTTTGTTCTGTAATTCTTTCTGATAGTTATAAGAATCCTTATCTAAATCAAGTATCCCCTTTGGACCGATAGCAGTTCCAATCATTCCACCCTTGGCAATGAACTCCTCCATAGCTTCCTCATCACCTGGTTGATAATATATCACAAAGATCAACTTTAGTTTAACAAATTACCTTTGTTCCAATCGCAACTACCCTAAAACTAATGAATTCGTTGTAACTCGATTAATACAAACCACTTCGAACCGTCAAGATTGTTAGGGTTAAACCTTAGATCACTCAAATTATGAGAGTTGATTCATTGTAACCATCCATAAGCAGAGTTATAAAGATATAGTTTAATTGCAACAATTTCATAAATCTATAAAGGTAATTGCTCAAATGAAATGTTTGTGAAGTACCACTGTAACCCACTAGCTCAAAGTGCGTCTAACAATTAAGGTTGTGCAACTTCTCCTTTTCACATCATAATGAACTTAAACATTTAAGTGCACTACGGTAGTTTAATAACCTGGATATGGAAACTCCCGCCGCTCATAGAGGTGAGCCAAATCCTTCTCTGCCTTGGAYCGTGGCTTCAGCGTCCACCAACCAAAGGGTGATGTTTCGTTGTAGAGCCACGCAACGCCAATCAGGGTATACGTACACAATAGAGCCTTGCCAACTTGCTTCCAGAAGTAACGGTCCTCTCTGCCCAGTCCAATTTTCTTCAAGAATCTCTCCGGTCTCATCGATTTCACCAGGTGCATACCTGAGGTCCCATTCCAAGACAATATACACATATAAGACATCACTACTACAAATTCACCCATTTTTTACGTCTAAAAAATGTCTATAATCTCATAATTGAGATCCTTTAAGCGTCAAATATTCCGGTGTCAACGTCAGACATCACGTACTATACAAACTTTTCTTCATGAATCATCCAAAACCTCAAGCACAACTTAATGGCACATTCAACAGCAAAAGAAATTGTCAAACTTCAGAATCTCATCAATTGATTGCATCATAAATGGAAAGAGAATTCACGAGTAAATTCTACAAACAGTTGGCGTGCAGTAAGAAGGAAGCCAGATTTTTAACATATAATGAACACAAATACGCATTACACAACCATTTCCGACAAGTAATAAGCATATAAGTGTTGAAGAAAAGAAACATTGCCTTCATGTTGCCATTGAAAGAACTAGCTGCTTGGGTTGCCATGTCTTAATTTCCTGGTTTTTTTCACTGTTCCATCACATGTACTAGAATCCGGAATAAAGATTACAGAAACCAAACCTCTGAAATACGACGGATGCCGCGCCGTCGAGGGTAGAGGAGAATTGCCGCAATCGACCGTTCGCTGAGCCGCTGCCGAAGGTCTTCGTCGTTAGTGGAGGAGGGTGGCCGCCGATGTTGCTTGAAAAGCGCCGCACCACTGCAAGGGAGTCGCCGGATCTGCTCGAAAATCTCGTCGAGAAACGCTGAATCGTTGGCCGGAGGAGGAACACGTGAGAGAGGAGGGGTGTGGCGGCTTGGGTGGTGGGAGAGGATAAAGAGATGAAGCCGTTTTTCTCTCTTTCCCTTTTCTTTTCTTCTTATTTACCGAAAAGAAAAATAATATTATTAAACCAAAAATATGGTTGATGACCTTACACAAGAGAGATTTTTTTTTCCTAATCCTTGTATTAAAAGGAACCACTTTAAAAAGAGGTTTGGAAAATTTTATTCGATGGATTAACTTAATTTTTAAAACTCAATAATCTAAATCCAAAAGGAAAATTAAATTTCAAAAACTAAAATTAAATTTCAATAAACTTTGAATTAAGATTTAGTTAAAAATCTCTTTTAAAATTTAATTAATCTTGACTAATCGAATTAAATTTAATTATAATTTACAAAAAAATAGAACTCCAAATTTGAAAATCCAAGAATTGTCAACTTCATAATTAGTCAAAATTTAATTAATTTTATGTCTAATAGTGATATAGAAATGAGTGATCACGGAGTGCACAAGGAAAGCCTACAAGAGGAGGAAGCTCAAATCAGCTCAAATGAAGCTTATGCTCAAAGTCAACACAATCATGAGCCAATCATTATGCCACAAGGTACAATCACAAGAACTAGAGCTAAAAGACTACAAGAAGGGTTGAATGGTCACCTYCAAGCTAAGGTGTTCACATTTGGTGAAGAGTTGCATCCCTTCAAGCTTGAAAAGACATCTTGTCATCCAAAAAATTTCATGAATCTAAAAATCCAGATTCATCCACATATTTAA